CCGGTATCACCCCGTCCTGATCACCGTGCATCACCGCGATGAAAGAGTCCGTCGTGGGCTCGGGGCCAATCCGCATACCGGGGAAGTCCTGCTCCATGAGGTGCCGGATGAACGTGGTCTTACCGGTGGAGTACTGACCCACCAGGAGCACCATGGGTTTGTTGTCGAAGTCGGCATCTTCGAGCGCAGGAGAGTGGAAGTCGTGGAATCGATACGCGTCCTCCAGAGGGAACAGTTTGGTCCGGTAGAGCCGCCGTAGACCCTCTGACACGTTCTGAAACAGCTCAGGGTCCTTCTTCAAGTTCTTTCTGAACATGATTAATTATTTATGCCCTTTAGTTGACACAACTGTGTCAGTTTCCCGTTGAATAAGTATCTGGTTACGCGGTGTGGAACTCTCACACCGTCAAAAAGAGTAGCTGCCTGCTGGAATGAAGCGAAAGGCTGGGCGAGGTCTGTGGAAGTTTTTTGTCCCCACCCTCCTCTGTGCTAGCTAGCCACACACTGCGAGTCAAGTCATTCAGGGAGGACCCGTATTCAGCTGACTGTTGGCTAAAGTAAGACAGTCAACTACACTCTAAACATGTAGCTCTAGGAAGCCGGATGTCGTCTAGTACTAACTGAACTGTGACTGCTAACTCGCTTCGCAACCGGCAACGGCTGTCAGTTAGTGAACCCCTCTGAAGAAGGCTGGTACGTAGATACCGGAAATACACGTATTTCACAATAAGAGCGTCAACGATGCCAGCTAATCCAGTGTCCAATAGTGTGGGTTTATGCTCACAGCCTTCCACGATTTATCAGTTTTGGAGTTTTTGCCTTCAGCTGCAGAAAGGTTTATAGTCTGCCACATGAATTAACCTATTATAGTAGGAAATTATGGATACATTTTTAGTTTTGTCCCAAACATGCTTTCACAAACACTTTTTTACACTCTGAAATTGAAAAGATAATTGTATTCCTCTCTTTTATTATCATTATTATTGTCATTATTATTTTTATTATTACTATAATAAACATTTATATTCATATCGCACAATTCATGCATATAATGCTGCATAAAGTCTTACCATTAAATGTGATGCCATTGTTTCAGTATGACAGTGTTTCATATGTTAAGTGTGTATCTGATACACTATGTCTTGACCTATAGCCTATGGACACTCAAATGAAAGTATTCAGTCATCCGATTCACTGAAACGTCTAGTAGCTTTTTTTAACCTTGAACAAGAAATGTTGGTTTCATATTCATGTGTAGTTTGGGCTATCCTTACAAATGGTTATATCTAATCGCACTCAGATGTAGTCACAATGATATCTACATTTATTTTTCTCAGACTGGGTAGTGTGTATTTTCTAATATTTTCAGTTTTATGTTCCTTTTTTAATTTTGTGTCCCAAAAACATTTTTAGTCAGACGTTGATCTGTTCCTTTGTGTTGCAGGCATCAGTGGAATAAATCTCTGTAATTGACCTGTTATAACAGCAATAATTCATTCAAATCACAACCAAACTTTCCTCTCATCATTTCACTGTTCACACTGAAACTGAAAAGATGATTTTATTCCCGTCTTATCCTATTATGTCAATAAGACAGACTTTTATGTTTAAATGGTCAGGTTTACATGTGATATACTATGTTTTGACAAAAAGAGATACAGTACCATATTTTTTATTTTCTCTTTGTTCAATAGTAATGTTAGAATATTGTAAGCTTTGTAAAAACATTTCTTTAAATATATCACAACATTGAAACTGAAAAGATTATATATACTTTGGGGTGCCATTATGTCAGTATAAGCATTTTGTGTTTCATTTGGTAAAGTCATACACACACACACACACACACACACACACACATGATATTTAAAGATAAAGTGAGGTGTCAATGTCATCTATATGTTTACTCTGTAGAAACAGAACAATAAAGAAACAGAAAGACAGTTATACCGGATTTAAGGGATCAATTTATTTTTACTGCAAAGAGCAACCTGCACAGAAATAGGCATAAAAATGACACATATTGTAAAAACGGCAAAAACAAAGCATTACTGTACACAAACTATTGATTCTTTAAATGCAGCTGTGTGAACTGTGCGTTACAGAGATTCCCGATGACGAGGGGTGTCCCACCACAGATAACAGCAGCTCCACTGGAAGCCAGAGTTGTTCCATATGGAGATGCTGTTACAGCTGGTGAGACCCACAGAAACCGCACAGCTGGCAGCACGTGCAGACCATGAGAATGTGGTGGTGGGAATAGATGGAGGACACACCAAGTGTTTGAAAATACTATAAGGTGTGATTGTAAAAAAAACTTTCCTTGCTCATCTGGCCTTGGATGTGTGTGTGTGTGTGTGCGTGTGTGTGTGTGTGTGTGTGTGTGTGTGTGTGTGTGTGTGTGTGTGTG